ACTTGTGGGGTGGGGGTACATTTTACATTACGGGTTATAGTGTATCATAGAAGAAGCTGAGATAGGTACTCATGGCAGGAGCTTGAAGTAGAAACCAGCAGAGGAATGCTACTTACTAGCTTGCTTCTCCAGGCTTTTTTGCTGCCTTTCTTTTACAGCCCAGACTCACCTTACAGGGGTATCACTGCCCACAGCGGACTGCGCCCTCTCACATTGGAAAAAAAAGGTCCCACAGACATGCCCGCAGGCAAATATGATGGAAGCAACTCCTCAGTTCTCAGGTAGGTCTGACAAAAACAAACACTGACACTCAAGTCACATACGTAAGCCTAATAAACTCATTGACTCCCCAGGGAAAATTTTAGTGGAATCATATTTGGTTTGTCACTGGGACCTCATGAAGAGGAGATAGACAGTGTTTATCTCCTCAGGAAAAGAATCCTTGCAACATGAGGTTACTCCTAAGACTAACAGGCAAAGGATAGGGACATATTTTAGAGGCTGACCAGTAGACTCTTTGAGACTTGCAATGCTCATTTCCAGGCAATCTGGGGCTCCTCTGGAGTGAAGGAGACCAATAACCATGTCAGTGAGATCACAGCTGGGAAGTCTGTGGAAAGGGTCCTGTGTGCACAGGAGGAAAAAATCACTGTGTCACTATCAGTGGTCAGACCTTCCCCATCCTGCCAGCTGATTCTCTTTTCACATCTTTGGAAAATCTGGTCCGTATGTCTTCATTAAACTTATACTATGACGTCCACAGGAAAAGCTAGCAAAAAACAACAGTCATAATTTTGGCCCCAGGGATGCTTTCAAAGTCCTCAGCTTAAAATGAGAAGGCTGTTGTTTCTGCCACACTGCAACAGATGTGTCCCAGTTAAAGTTCACTGTTTGCAAAGTCTTGCTCTGCAAAACCCAATTCCTGGGGGAAATCCCTAGTCATTCCAAAGGGCTGTGTAACTCTCTGTGAATTAATTGAAGCTTCAAGAACAAAAGCCATAGCTATGTTAAATAATCAGCAAGACTGATTAACTGAATCAAACTTCCAGTGACTGTGAAGAGTTGGAACATTGCCAGTCATACTATCTTGGGCAATCTTTAATCCCATTAACAACCATTCAGTGTCCACCTCTGTGTTTGACCTAACATCCTTGTCACTACGATGTAAGTCCCTTTGGAATGAGATCCTTAGGTTCTGCTGACCCAAAGGCTGAGGATGCCATCAGACAGCATCTGAGATCCATAGCAGAGATTTCCCAGACTGGCTGTAACCTACCTATCTGAAGTACCTACCTATCTGAAGTTCCTAAGGATGTGTTGAAAAGGTATCTTCATTCATTCCTTTTTTTGCTCTGTTATTATTAAAACAATTTCATGAAACTATTACCATGTTGGAACATAACATTGTGGAGAACTTGAATCCCTGTTCTATAGCCACCACCACTCACATTTGGCTCCAGAGCAAACTATCTCTATTCTTCAAAATGAAAACTTCATTGGCATTGATGCCTATGATCACAAGATTCAAAATAGTGAAAAATATGAGCATAGACATGGCAATTGCTTTAAACACTTGATATAGGGCTATTGAGCTAGCTCAGTTGATAAAGTGCTCATTATACACATAAGGATCTAAGTTTGGTTCTCCAACATCATTTAAAAGCTGGGTACATTCTTGTAACTCCAGCACTGGGAAGGAGGAGACTGTTAGAATCACCAGGGCTAGCTGGCTGGCCAACCTGGTCATATCACTGAGCTCCAGGCCAATGTAAGCCTGTCTCAGAAAAAGTGGACAACATCTGAGGAACACTAAAGATTGACCTCTGTCTTACACACACACACACACACACACACACACACAATACAACTGTAGGCTTGATCTTTTAAAAGATTTGTTTATGATATATAACAGACGTTAGGGTACTGCTGTTATTTGTGAAGGCAAGAAGAAAACTCAAGAGGAATTGAGCAAAAATGAAGACTGGACCATTCCAAGTCAAAGGAATAAGAAACAAGGGACTGTACTGCATGGTGGTCTCAGCATCCCTCTGCTGAGTATACTCCCATCAGGTGCTATTTACATGGTCCAGCAAACCATCAGTACCTAGTCAGTCCTCAAACTCATGCCCATCTGTGTATTCCAAGAGCCATGGAGTCAAGACTTTCAAACACAGACTCTGTGACTATGCTGAGTGGGTGTAGATATTTTGTCATTACTCCCTGGATACAATGCCACACTCACTTACATTGAATTCAGTACTAAGAGTAATATAGAGATGGTTGAACATATTTGGGAGGATGTGGGAGGTTATATAAAACTATATAAAGAACTTGAGTTCCTCATGACCTTTGGTCTCTTGAAGCAACTGTCCATGGATTTCAAAGAAGGAAAACAAAAATAAAATGTGAAGCAAAGCTATGTTGGTACCAAGTGAGGTCATTCCATAGTGATCTCACTCCTTCCTGTACCTGTCAGGAAATGTGTCCACAATACCCTGGGTACTAGGACGCACTAGACTGTAAGAGTGTCAGCACAAGACAGGGACAGTAGAGAAGTACTGGCTGACTCATCCCTGCAGACGTCATACCTAGACCACCCCTAGCTGCTGAGGCAATTTGATGGCATTGTGAGGAGCAACCATCTGAAGTCTCAAGCAGCTTGGATTCATGAGCTGCCTCTCCTGGGAAATCTTAGCTCTGTCCCTCCAATCTCTGTGCTTGCTTTGTTAAAGTCAAGAGAGCTAATGACAGTATTTGTCTGTGTTGTTAGTGTTAAATTAAATAATGCATGAAATCATCCAGAGAGGTGCTGACAGCTCTTAAAGCAATGCAGTTCTCCCTCTACTGAGAACCAGAGCATCATGAATGCAGTGAGTGAACTGGACCTTCCTCCTGCTGTTTCTGTACCAGGTCAGAGCAGACAGTCCTTCACAAAGGATTCTGAGGAGCATGGATGAGGCCTCTGAGAATCGCCAGAAATCATTCACCTTTATCCCCTTTAGTCACCACCACACCACAACCAGTTTGAGAATCCCAGGCTATAAGCTATGCGTACCAAGGCCTGGATGTTGGCCCAGTGTGTAACTGCAAAGACCTGGTCCAGGGAAGGGCTAGACTAAACTTGTTCAAATCCTGATGCATAAGAAGACAGACTGAAACGCAACTTCTAATTCTGACACCTTGGTGGTTCTCACACTTAAAATCCCATTAGCTTGACACTCCTACAAAATACTCACATGGGAGACAAGATATGGTTATTTTTAAATCATTGTTCTAATCGTTGTGTGGGGGTGATGCATTCTTGGAGCATGGTTTTAATTGTGCACCTGGATCTGTCAAATCGTGATGCCTTCGGTGCCAGCTCCGGAAGGTAGGAACTTAAGGAGGGCCTTGACCCAGTCAGTGTTTGTCTCTGCAGATCTTATCCAAGCCCACCCATAGGGGTTAGGGAGATAGTTCAGTCTATAAAGCACTACCACATAAACATGAGGATCTGAGTGACCCCTCCTCCTACCACAGTTTTAATTGCTAGGAACAAGGGGAATCTCTGGGGCTTGCTGGCCAGCCAGCCTAGCCAGTCACTGAGCTCAGGGAAATACCCTGTCTCAAAAATATGTGTAATGTAGAGGGTAATTGGAGAAGGTACTCAATGTTGACCTCTGCCCCCCAACACACATGTGCATAAGCACCTTTATATACATATGCAAACACACAAACACATATACAAAGCACACTTTTGTGCTGTGGGCCATGTTCTGCCCTCCGTGGCCAACCCCAGAAAAAGGTTACATCATGGCCTGATTGTGAATTGTCTCCTGTAGGTTCATGTATTTGAATACTTGATCTCCAGCTGGAGCTTCTAGAGAGGAGATTATGGAAGCCTTTGAGGGCTATAGAGCCAACCCAGTTTCTAGTCCTGCTCTCTACTTCTGGATTCACCAAAATATGAATGGACATGATTGAGTGCCCATTGCCATGAACAGAGTCATGTGCAAGCCTTCCTTCCAAACCATGATTAACTGTATGCTCTATACAGTGAGACAAAATAAATCTTCTCCTTTAAGGGTTCGAGCAGAAACTTCACTCTCTAACATCGGTTCTAGACATTCCCTCATGAGTAGGCTCCAGGGTAAACAATTTATCATCTCAGAGAAAAATCCCCATGGACACAAATAACACTGATGTGATATCCAGCTGCCTCCTTTCTCCATCTTCATGACAGGCAGCAGAGTGTTCCTCTGCCCAGGCATTTATGGAGGAGAGTTTGCAGCTTCCTGGGTGACCCTTCCCATGCATGAAAGACAAAACAGACAGAAAGATCAGAAGGTAAAGACTGTCCTCCAAGGGACTGGATGCAGCCTAGCCACACTAGGCACACTCCACCAAGTCTCTGGTGACATCCTCTGTGCCCCATTCATGCATTATGGGTGCAGTTCTAGAATCCAAGGGGTTCACAAGCAAGCAAGCCACTGGAGGAAAGACCTGTGGTTATGATTAGAGTGACTTGAGGAGTATGCAGGGGAAGCTCAGCTGAGAGGCGAGTAGACAGTACCAAGGGCCAAGATCACAGTAGAACCCGAGAGAGGTGGTCACATATGATGTGCCCATCCGTGTGCGCCAGTGGGGATCCACAGAACCGCTGGATGATGTGGGTGAACCTGTGGATTCTAAGGAGGAGAGGGAAGATGAGGCCCTCTCTCTGCTGTGTGGCAGACATCTCTGCTATGTCCTTGCCTGTGGACATTCTTCATTCTGCTCTTGCCATTTCTACACAGAGGGCACCCAAAGGGAAGTCCTTACCGCATTTGTCCTGCCTTCTGTCTCTGGAGAAGCCCAACCTCTACTCATAGTCCTATTCTGCAGTGGCTCCTCACCTTGAGAACTAGCTAATATTCTTCAAACGCCATGAGCTCACCCACCAAAGCTCAGCGGGAGCACTCCCTGTGTCCGTGCCCGGAGCACTCATCAATATGACCCGATTATATCTGAGAGGCTAGTACCTGGATGTTGAGTCTCCCACGATGCGCTCCCAGGCCATAGCGCTTTGCTGTGGAGGCATGCAGCTGGAAGTCTGTGATTTTTAATGTTTCCAGACCAAGAGGTGGACAACCTGGGAAGGACAGCGTTTGTTAGAAACAAAGACGATATCAGAAGAAATGAGAGTCTGCTTTTCAGAGGGGGCCAAGTGCTTTCTTCCCCAGCGAACCCCTAAGCCACCAGTATGGCCCCCTTTGCCCTGGCACATCCTGTGTTTCAGACAGATTAGGTCAATGCAACCATCAAGGCTCCACAGTTCTGTCGCTAGCATTTGCTTTCTAAATATTTGGGCTGAATATTCCTTCTTTGTTGCTGGCTTTGCTTTGTTTGATGCCATTTGCAATTAAGGCCCCTTCCATGAAACTGTGCCAGAGAATGACACGGGGTAGAAATCTTCTAACAATCTCATGCTTGAGCTCTGCAAATTAATCAGGACTTGTTGATTTTGCTTCAGCAACTCTGGCCTCTGTTGTGCATGGTAATGAGCAGAACAGCATAAATAGAAACCTCTATTGTCTTCCTTCTTGGCGGAATATGTAGCTGTGAGAACAGTTCCTGATCACAGCTTGACCCCGGGAATGAATGCCAGCCAATGACTGCTCAAGTCTAGACCACCATACCTACACATAACAGTATTAATGGCAGCCAGCTCTGGACCCCAAGTCTCCTAGGCTGGACTACTCTCTCACCCAGTGACCTACCATCATGTCCTGTCAGGGGCACATAGTGGTAGAGCAGCACAGGGGAGTCTCCTTATTACCATCTGACTTGGAGAAGAAAAACAACTCTCAAGTGGGTATGAATCAGGTCTGTTTCCACCAGAAATATCAGACAACTTCAAACATCAGAGGGCACAGTCACGGGGGAACTAGAAGTGCCCTAGATCCAAAGGCACTCCGGGAGCACGTCTGCACACTCAGCAAAAGGTCCTAGCCTCAGATGACGGGGCTCTGCCGGTACCTGCGTGAGATCCACTCAGGCACTGGAGATGTTCAGATCTTCCAGGAACCAAGAGACCACATAGCCCTCCCTTAACCTCTCAAAAGTGGAAACCAGCCCATTGGGCACCTGAGGCAAGCCACCAAGAGGTATCAGCTGCCAGCATAGCTGCACAATGGAGCTAGACTTCAGGGTCTCATCTCCAGGCTGGTGAAGGGCACCTTGCATCCTTGAGCCTGCTGACACCCCCTGGGAGGCTTCTCCTGGTTGGTAACTGGCATTGGTCATCTATCTGACCCCCACCATAGTGGAGATCATAATAAGATGAGTGCTACTGTCCCCCCAACACACTTCGGGAAGACAAGCCAACTTCCAGTGATCAGTGTGCTCCATAGCTTCTAAGAAAGAATCTTGTAGCTGGGGTCTGGAGAGTCATATAAAGTATTAGTGAAGGAGTATGAAGTAGAGTGAGAACAGTATGCAGAAGATAGAGGTGTGATCAGAGGCCACACAGTGAATGGGGGGCATGCAATGAATTTAGAGGGCATACAAGAAGGCAAAGGACACATGACTGATGCCAAGCAGTCATTGGTGACACTTTCAGTGAGTGAGGAAGAGGTTGAGCAGGAAGGGGAAACTGTGAAGCCAGACCCCTAACTTCCCAAGGCCACTCAGGATCAACAGTTACCATGAACCCCCAGCTTCACAAGGGTCTGTACCTCCACCTTCCAGGTCTGGAGGACATGGGAGTCTGACTCACATGGGTGGCAGGCCTTTGACATTAAGAGTTAAGTGAGTACTTCTCCTTCTCGCCTACCAGGAACTGATGATGTTCATGTCTTATAAATGAGCAAAGCTGTCCCACAACCTCTTCTGAAATCCATAATGCTTGCCTCCTATGCTGGGCGTCACTGTGTACATTTTTAAGCCACCAAAGCAGTAGTCTGTCCTGGCTCTTGGGTTCGGCAGCCATGAGAATGACCCAGAGCCCAGAAGATAAACCTATTATCTCTCCTGTTACAAGGGCTGGGAGTGTGGGCCTGGACCCTTCTACTATAGCTTCAGGACAAGAAGCATCTCTCTCAGCTGCTGCCCTGGGCTCACAGATCCAGCTTTCTCTTGCAGCCATCACAGACTATATTCAGAATCCAGGCAAGGTCTGGGGTAACACTCACGGACTTACTAGGGCCACTGGGGTCAGAGGTATCTAACAGTCCGCCACTTAAATTGTGGCTGCGATTTGGGTTCAAGGGCCCCTAAACTGATTTTCCTGCCTCCCAGTTCTGGATTTTCCCCACTGCTCTTACCTGATGCTGGGTCCTTCACTTCAACCTGTAACGCTTTGGGCACTGGCAGCATCCTCGGCCTGAGAGACCCCACACCCCTGGGTTCTGACACTGAGCCAGCCACTGCTAAGCACAACTCCTAATTTAGTTTCTGACCCCAAAGGACCAGGACATTAAAGACTGAACAGATGGGAAAAACCCTAGTTTAGTCTCTCTACATCCTAGTGTTCAGACCCATGGTATCTCCATGTAATCAAGTCAGAAATGCAAACGATATCCACCGTCATTTGTGAGCCTATTTCAGCGCCACACAGACACCATTCTAGCCTCCACTCAGCAGAATATGGAGGAGAATCCATCACCTCATCTAGCCCTGCAACCTCCATTTTTGCCATTTATAGACAATCAAGCAGATGCACAGGTAGACAGCCAGATGGACAGATAGCTTGCCACAGCAATGATTGCTATTCAAAGCATTTATTCTAGAAAAAAAAAGAACTTCGAAAGGAAACTACTTGAATGAAGTCAAATATTCTGTTAAAATTGCTCCTCTGGTAAGAAATCCCATTAAGATATATGAGGTGTAAAAAGATGTGCCTGTAAGTGGGGTATCTCATGGTTGCACATCTCCCACTGACTCAAAAGTTCAATGTCTGCCCTCTGGAAGGACCGAGGCCATTGTGTGCTCACGGCAACAGAGGATTTCACCTGAGTGGCATCACCTGTTGTCCACACCTTCAAGAATGTCACAGAAGAAATCAAAATGTTCTGCCACCTTCATCCAGATAAAGATATGGGCTCAGCCACTTCATATATGGCTTCTTCTACGAACACAGCACCCTGATGCTGTGACTCTTTTTCCTTATTAGAAGGTACTGTATTTAGATGATCTTGTTTTGTTTGGAAGCCTTTCCCATCGTCCATGAGGGAGTAGCTAGCAGTGGATCCACCCTAGGAAAGCAGAATGTCTTTGAAAAGCAAGGATGAAGGTACAGACCACGTGGATTAGTAAGTGTTGTTTGAGTGAAGGAAACCAACAGCACCCCACTCAAACAAGGAAGGATTGCTACAGGGACAGGAGGGACAGGACAGGACAGGACAGGACAGGACAGGGCAGGGCCAGAGCTCCCGTCAGCCATGGAGCACAAGCCACCACTCTGTGCTGCCAAAGGAAGGGACTGGCTCTAAGGGTGTCTGCAGCATTTTACCACACTTGTCCAGAGTCTCCACCCAGCCTCCTGCCTGGCACCAGGACTTGATACTATCAGTAGAGAAACTGTAACCAAAGCTAGATGAAAATTCACAGCCACTTCAGTGCTGGGGCAATCGTGTGGCGTTCCCTGTCCAGTGCTGAGGGTTAAACTGGGAAGTGCAGGCCAAGGGTCACAGAGATACAGCAAGGTAGCCAACCTCATTCAAGAAGTTCGTAGTTCATCAATTATCCACTATTATTTTTTCTTCTGACCACCTCACTATTTACCTTCCATCAATAATTACGATAATTCCCTTCCTGGGGTTGCTAGTGGGTCGGGGAGCCTGGTGCAACTGGCTCCCTGGTTGACACAGAACGATGTGCTCTCCAGTGCAGCTCACTACAGGCCTCAAGAAAAGCAGCACCTGCTAAGCTGGCTGCAAGGGCCCCACTTCTCCAAACAACATTCTAAGACATTTAGAGCCAGTGAGGCGGCTCACCAGGTAAACGTACTTGCCACTATGTCTAACAACCTGTGTTCAGTCCCAGAGGTGCTGGAAGGGAAGGAGAGCCAACCGCTACAAAGTTGTTCTCCGGACCTCATGGACCCCATGTGCACTATGACACGCACTCACACTGCAGCACGCACATGCCCCCCCACGTACACACACGAAATGTAAAGTTGTTAAACGTGTTAAAATGAATAAAAGCTTAAATACAGAATAGTTTAGATTTCTCTCCTGCATTCTTTTATACAAAGATCAATAAGGCAACAATTTCAGGTTATAGTCACAAAGTCACATATTTCCTGGTGAAAGTTCCTAGGCCAGTCTTAAATGTGCAAACTGGTTTACATAGGAATGCCCTGTTAGAAAAAGCAAGTTTCTTATACTAAAGACAAAAAAAGTAAGAGGTAGGAAAATTATCTTTTGTTTTTAGACTTTAAATTAATTCAAAGTATAGAATACTAGTATGTTCTCCATACTGCATGCTTAACCCTGATGAACTTGATGAACTTGAGTATTTTTTTTTGCCTGATTCATTTTCCTCCTCTTGATTCCTTGAGAACATTCTATGTTCTCAGAGGAGCTGGTGGGTGTTCAGAACCCACAGAGAGATCCTCCCACCGGTGCACCTGCAGGGCCCTCTGTGCTGGAGAAAAAGATGAGGAAGGTAATTAAGGTATCACCCTAAATTTGTTCCCACACAGGAGAATGGTGGGCGGTGCCATGTAAATGAATAGAACAGTATGAAGGCTGAACCTTCAGAAAGGCCAGAGAGGAACCCATGTCAACACAGCACATCAAGGCATCTGAGATCCTGAGTCCTGCTCAGGGAGGTGGGCAGTTCCTCTTTCCTTTGGCCAGAGAGGCAAGCAAAGACTAGAGAGGACTACATAGGAAAGGAACAACTGACAGCTTCCTTGGACCCAACACACAAGGCTTCTACTGGTCCCTGGGTGACGTAATCAGGGCTCCAGACTGTGCTCTGGGTTTTGGATTCCAGCCACAGGGAGGAGAACCACAGGGAGGAGAACCCAAGACAATGGAACGCTAGGAAATCCCATAGCATAAACGGAGGGCCTGCAAGCATACCTCCACCTCCTTAGGATCAGAAACTTAGAGAGTGGAGCAGAGATAAGGGTTGCATTTTCAG